TGCCCATCACTGTATGTACACATTCCTGTGTCTATACTGCTTGCAGACCCCTTTCCTCATGACCCATCAATGTGGGGGCCTTGTCCTCATGGGTCTGAGGACCTTGAGGGGGGGGTGATGTTATGCCTGCATCAGGGGCCTTCCCTTTTCCAGCTTCTCATGGTCATGTGCATCACATGTCTGGTTGCATCCCTAGTAGCCATCATTGTCTTGGGCATGTTTATGCTTGAAGGATGGCTCAGATCTCCAGCAGTCATAGGTGATCCAGTGTCCCACTCCCATCTCTGATGAATGGTCAATCTTATGTTCTGTCTCTGACTCATGGTTGTTGCTTTGATTGTTTACTTCTTGCTCTGGTGTCAGGCTCCTCACTGCACATTGATTGCACAGCCAGTACAGCCTTCATCTCCTCCCTTCCCCCCTGCATTATGAAACCATATGACTCTTTCTTATCTCATTGTCTACTGCTGTGGATACTTACTGTTGCCTTGGCATGACTTGTACAGTATCTTGTCCTGAGGTATTGATACAGCCATACTGTACTTTGTATCCTCAGTTTTTTGATAGCTTGCAACTCAGCCTCATCCCTTCATTCTCATCTTCAGTTCCCTCCCCATTGTGATCTCAGAAGAACACACCAGCAGAGTGAACCTTTGTTGGACCTTTGCAATAACTGAGCCATAGGGGTTATGACAAGTTCAGCCTGTAGACTCCCCTTGTGCCACTTGTGACTAGTCCATTTGATGAAGTCACTTGGCTTGGGCATAACACCAGCTAATCTATTTAGGCAGGCCTGTCTCAGGGTCTATATAAGTGTTGGTGTTTTGGTGCACAGGCTGCCCATGTGTTGTGACTAAATGTGACTACACTATGTGAGTCAGCAGGGTACAAACAGATGATATGTCAATCTGTTTGGCTTACAGATTTGGTATGGACTGTTGGAACATAAAGTGCCCCTGTGGTACTTGACCACTGTGCGATGTTTTGGCTGATTACATAAGCTGAAATAGCGCACCTACTTGTAGTATTTTCTACTAGTATTCCCTCAGTAGTTTGTTCACTACTGAGGTAGCCTACAGATATTTCTACACAGACATGTGATGTGCCATGAAATTGTATGTCTAGATATTCCTCAAGGTTCTCCAAGAGTTCTCATAGTCTGGATTTAGTACAGGAAAATTCTCAGATATTTCCAAACTGCAGATCTCATATGGGCATCTAGTTAGGTATGTTTTTAGTACAGGTAGCTAGTCTGGCATGATCTAAAGTGTGTCTAGACAGAATCTTGTTTGCACAGTGAATTATGTTATGCATTTATTCTGAACCCACATTTTGCTTTCCTCATATCCTGTCATTCCAAATTTTGGTTCTTGACTGCCTGAACCCCAAATGCATGAGAATTCTTCTATGATAATTCATACAGGTCACCTGGATCAGTGCTGATGCACATCAAAGCAAACTGCCACAATAGGGATGACACAATGGATTTTGGAGAGTTAAGGACAGGTCTTAATGTAGTAGAAAATGTAAGGACTGCACTTGAAAATTAATTCAACAATTTTTCGAAGGCAAAACTTGAAGTTTTTGTGAACACCTCAATGTTTACTAATACTTCAAGTTTATGTGCATGTATTGATGGTGTCAGAATGTCAATTTTATCTTCAAGTTTGGTAGTGGTTTGAATGTGCGTGCAAACATCTGATTTTGTCTTCACATTGTGACTTCAACAAAACATCAAGAATGAACTATGTTCATGTGTTGACCAAGATTCCAAATATGCACAAATAATAAATACTCTGCCTAATTTTGAAGTTTGGGATGAGGACAAAACATTGATTGAAATGTAAAGTATTATGTACAGTTTATATGAATTGCCCATTGGTTGCCCACCCATCGCCTGCCAATCACCCACCCATCACCCTCTGGTCACCCAAAATCACTATCATTTTACTTCAAGAGCCCAATTTTTGTCAACAATGGCAATGACAACCAGATTTTATACTATGTGAAGCTCACAGATCAGTCCTGCATGAAAGAGTTAATGGAAATATCATTCAGCAAGAGGACAAAATTGCTCACCTGACAAAGAGACAACACAATGATGCGATCATCTGTGACAGCCCACCTGGCAAAGTGACTGACAACCCATGATAATTCAATGGTTTCCAAGTGGTTTGATAGTGTGGAAGAGTATGACTTGGCAGGAAAGTGGGGGTAGGCAGCAAATGGATCTGATTCTGTAGCATGTGGCAGCAAGGAATATCACAGTACAGCAAAGACAAATACCCCATCATGACCATAGATATACTTGATAGTGCCAGGGATGGGCAAACATTTGTAGTCACCTTTTGGATAGAATAGAATATGCAAGTTGCCATCATGAGTCGAGAACCTGCTGTACATGGTGTTGTCAAGTTTGAGGTGGGCATGTAGGACTACATGTTGCTGTTGGGTTAGTTCAATCAAGTCCTTTGGTGTCACTACCAGCTTAGCACTGTAAGGCACTCACATTCCAGCATCCAATGCATCTCCATGGGTCTCCCAACCTCCATCCATAGTACCATATGCATGATCAAGAAGAAGTTTACATTCATGGATAGCAGGGGGGCAGCAAGGTCGAGACAACCAGCTACAAAGTCTTCCAGCCTTCAGATATGACTGAATCATTGTTTTCTCCAGCTCTCCTGTTTGTTAGATTCAGTTTTCAAGTTCTATGGCTTAATCCATTGATCACAAGCCTGTCTGGTAGTTGGTCAGAAGACATTGCAGCACCCCAATCAACCACTCAAATGGAAAGCACCACCATGATTGCATGGGTCCAAAGAGTAGGAGGTAATCATATATGTGGAATGATGTGTGGTGATTGGGTTGTGCATCAAGTGTAGGATAGAGTTCCTTCAGCTTTCCAACATAGCTGGCAATATAGGCATGATATGCAGAAGCTTGCAAAGTACTCATGGTCCAAGCACAGCCAAGATTGACAGCAGAAACAAGATCCATCGTGTGATCAAGAACAGCCTTGGGGTCTGTGCCATCATTGGAACAGTTGTTACTTGTACCCCAAAGATTGATCAATGCTAGGGGAAGATAAACCATGATCAGTGAGTGCCATTCATCTGCCTTGATAGTGCCAGCAGCCACATTGTCAAAATTGCTGGGAACAGAGCCTAACCACAATGGTGTCACAATGTCACAAATAACTTCATGAACTTGATTTAACACATCTGACTTGGAAAGCCTGCTGGGTTGGTGCTGTAATGCAGACGAGGGCATCTGCTGCCACTGATTATACATCACATCAGCTGCAGGACATGTAGTAAGATCAGGAACAACTTACCCAAGCAACAAGCGCCTTGGCATAATCAGCTTTGAGAACTTTACCACTCTGTGAGGGAACACACTCTAAGCTCTGGAAAACAAATTTCAGAGGGAGAGCATTTTTGTGGACTAGCAACTCCTGCAAGTCAGTCATGAAGGACTTGACAGCTGTGTTGTCATCATATGATGGGACTGGTGAAACAAGAAGCTTGTGAAGCACTGAGACTTGCATGATCTCCTTTGTTGTCATAGACAGCACCTCAGGGGTACCCGGGACAACCTGCTTAAACTTGTAGTGAAATGCAGGAATTACAGAGTGTGCAGCAGAAGAAGTCTCTGTGGTTAACCCAAGTAGACTGCGCACATGATGTTGAACAAGGCCCTCGAGTATACAATGCATTGAATCTATGACAAGTTGGCAAGTGGGGTCCCAATATGGAAAATGCCACAGTTCTGAGTAGCAAACACCATATTCCTTGAATATCCTGTCACATGCAGAAGACATGTGCATCCCTCCATTGCTCTGCATATTGGTGGAGCTTGACTTTGTCATGCACCACCCAGTTGTTGAAGTCCATCTGACTGTAATTTGTCTTGTGGTAGCAGCTGCAAACAGTGCAGAAGAAGTGACTCCCAATTCCAGTGAAGGTGGCAAGGTGGCGAGAGGCAGGGAGATCACAGACAACAAGGGTGATGGCACTGTCCACCAGGATGATTCACTGTTCTCAAAAAGCAAATGCCAGAATCCCAAGCAGCAACTAGGTTGTTCATCAGTGGTTGTACATAATGATTAGGATTTTCGAGTGACAGCTGTTTGGGGCCTGGAATAATGCCAGCAAAATAAAGATTTTCTGGCTTGTACCTCACATCCAAAGGCAGATTGAGACATGCCATCAAAATGATCCCAGACAACATGCTTGGTCCCTGTACACTCATACCTCCAGGGTTGAAGAAATCCATGTGAAGTGCAAACACATATTGACCATCATCTCCATGATCAATGAAGCACTTCCCAGGCACAGGCCCATGGAACTCTCAAAGGAACTGGGCTTCAAATGGGTTCTTCACAAAACTGGTTGTGAGGATGAGGCATGTAAATTGTCACATGCAGAGTCCATTGCTGCCTCAGTATCTGGTCAAGACAGTAGTGTTGTGAGGTAGTCTTTGAAGTCATGGAAGACAAGCACCTTCTTTGGGTAAGGATTCCCCTCAGCTTGTGTATTGAGTAATGGCTCGCCATATCACTTCTCCAGTGAAGGGGAATGAGTGCAGAAGGAAGGATAAGTGGGGACATCTGATCCAAGTGAAAAGGTGGGAGCATAGAGGCAATGGCAGCTGCACATCAGTAGACCACTTTGTGAGCTGGTAGTCCCAGGGAATCTGTCCAGTGCTGGACAGCTCTGGACAGCTCTGGCCAGCAAAAGTGATTTACTGATGCAGACAGCATATGTCACTGTCTTGGCTGCAAGGTGGAACCTGGACAAGATGCCACTGATGGTTGATGGTATTTGCTTCAGCACAGTCTCATGCAAATGACTCAGTGTCCCATCCAGCTTCCAAAAGGCAAGGTATAGCAAGAGGGAAAGTCTGTTCATAATAAAGTTAGCACCTGGAGTGCCAATGCCAAAAATTATACTGCACATGACTCCTAGCAATAGTGCAACTTGGGCGATCACATCCATTCACTTCATTGGTGGTGAGTAGTGCTTCCCTGTACAATCAAACATCAGCAATGGTAAAAATCATGACATCCAGATACTCACCTGTGTCAATCTCAACTGGATCTTGAGGCAAAGGTGTAGGCACCCATTCATTTGCCTGGGATTGGACCTCATCCAACAATGCAGATAAAGCCTTTTTGCATGTGGCCACCAACTCCATGGAACGAGTAACCTGATCAATTGCTTTGTGTAGAATGACAAGTTCATGCTGGACATCAAGAGAGCCAAGGTCTGATGAATCAAGGAGGAGCCACTGACAGTGATGGATTCAAGATTCAATATTGCTAAGGATCTGAAGAGCTCTGATGGTGCAATGATTGCCATTCCTTGATGACTTGCAATGACCAGATACAGTGGGGGTAGTGGAAGTAATGGGCAAGTCAGGTGAGAGCCATTCTCTCTCAAGGGCATCTTTGGGGGGGGATGCAACAGAAGGCCCAGGAGAATGAAGGGTCAGGCGACTCAGACTACTGGTAAGATCACCTAAAGGGATTGCCTTGGGTGTGTTGCTTATCATGCTGCTGCTTGGACCCATGGCCTGAAAATCAGTGCAGGAGTGCCACAGTTTATTGACAGTGGTACCAGGGTCTGGACCATCATCAGTAATGGTAAGCACAAAGAGGTGCCCAGTGACAGAGTCTACAGCATCTATGGTGCTCTGTTGGACAGGTGGTGAGTACTGGGTGGCATGTTCATCATGAACTCACTTCATGTGCACTGGCATAAAATGAGCCTCCATAAGAACACCTCTTGCTTTCCCATGGCTGTCTGTGCCACCATTCTTGATGCATTCTTTGCAAAAACATCATTTAAGAGTAGAGTGGGAGGCAGGCATCCCTCCAATCTGGTGGTATCAATGCTAAGTGGATATCTCCCAATGTTTGAGGATGATGTATGATGTAATCTTGGGGCTTTGAGATGAAAAGGATGTGAGCATGGCCAATGAAATACCAGCTTTTGCAACTCATATTGCAGCAGGGCAGCAACTTTTGAACAAGGATAAGAGTGGGAATCACTGTACAACATACATGTATTTGTGTGTGGTGGCACTGTGTCATGAATCTACAATGGAACAAGTTACAACAATGATTGTGACAATTGTGGCAAACAGTTGACAATTAATATTATGGAGCCTAGTGATGGATTGTTGGCTGCAAAATTGGCAAGTAGGATATGTCTTAGAACCTAATCGATCTGGTAGCATTTCAGCTGCCTTAAGCATTTCATCACCATCTGTGCACAAGAGATTGTGACAATTGTAACAACAACAACCAGTGAGCAGGAAGTGGAATGGGCAACTTCACCAGGCATCACCAACATATCACTCCCTACTGAATAGGTGTTCCTCAACCTGTCAGTTGCGAAGAGCAGCAAAATGCCCAACACATGTACACCAGTGGAACCTCACCACTTGTGACATCCTGACAAATGTCTGCTAGTGTTCCCCTGCCCTCAATCCTGAACAGCCTGCTGATATCATTGCAGACCCACATGAAAGGCATGCAACCTCCATTGGCAGTTCCCCATGCACAGATATCCTCCACCTCCAGTGGAGGTTTGTGGCCTCAAGGAACACCAAATGCCAATCTGGGCCCTGTCTTACCTCTAGTTTGAATGAGTTTTGGCACAGTAATCAAGCAGGATGGATGTGATGTGTGACAGGTACCATTTTGCATGGAGAGATGAGTCAGTAGCATAAACCAGCCCCAATAACCCCCTTGCAAACTTGGCACATTGGTGTAGGTGGTGGACATGGCAGTGACTGATGTAAGGGAGGTAGTATGATTTTCATTCAAAATCATCAACATGATATGTATGACACTACACACTACCCTTCGTCATTCAACAGCTCCCAGATTGATAGCTTGAGCTTCTATATGACTGAAGAGCAAGTATATGAGTTGTAAGTATACCAGTCCAGAGGGTGGTGGTGGTATCCACTTACCCCTACCTGACATTCTCCTCTTCAAAGGATGCCCTGCAGATTCTGTTGAGTGGAATACTACCCACATGCAGAAACACTTGCATGCATGAAGTATATCAGCAGTACCAAACTCAACAAATGCATTATCTGCTGTGATCTTGGCCTTGGATATGTGGAAGGATGACAATTTAGTCATGGCAAAAGTGGCAGTCAAGTGTGTGACAAGTATGGAACAGATCAGGCGCAATTGGAGAGGAGATAGTTCAAGGAGCATTATGCTGGCATTCAGGAAGGACCCAGCACTGCAATGACTGATGGTAGAGAATGGAAAGTGACAGAGATTCCTAGTACAACCCTAAACACTTAGTCATCAGATGATGATGGCAACAGTTTTTGGGTTCTTACCATTGTCCATATCCTAATTTGAACTGCATCGCTCAACTTTGGTGTGCCACAGGGTCACTGTTCTCACTTAGACAATCTGGCAGAGAGAGATGGGTAGCGAAGTCATTTTGAACACTTGTATTACAGCTGTTTTGGGAAAGGTTTGCTGTGAGAGAAAAACCTCAAAATTGCTGCCACTTCCTTGTCTTGCAGCTCACATCTCAGAATTGAAATATCTCATGAACCAGAACAGCTAGTGCCCTAATTCCTTCAGCTTTGCACTCCCTGGATTCGATTTCAGGGCACCATGGCAAGAAACCCAACATTCACCATTCTGTTCTCATGCCCCAACATTACCCCCTCATGGATGGTGTGATTGCATTTGCTCATGTAAGGACACCTTTCTCAAGATCCATCTTGAATAGATAAGTACATTGAGTAGTGCCATAGTGCACAGAGGTAATTTCATGATTACATTTACTTTTGGTAGCAACACATTCTCATAGAAATGCCAAGGGAGCGAGTCACAGTGGGGCAGAGATGACAACAATAACTTGGTGTGGGCTAGGATGATGATGATATGAACATATGAAGATGGGGTAAGTGCTCACAACTCCTGGACAGTAGTAATCACTATAGGCAGCCACAATGACAGATTTTGAACTTTTGAAATGGTTCTGACTGTGCAATCACAATGATGGCCATGAAGATGGAGATGATGGCAGTCAATGTTGTCATGATGATAATGATGGTGTACTATTGATGCTGATGATCTGTGAGGTGCAACAACCTGTAGCCTGGAGAGCTTTGGTATATGTACCTATGTACCATACTTGAGTTCAGTTGCACCAGTAGACACCTGAAAATTTCTCCTGGTGTCAAAATGGGTTCCTTTGGGTCCTAGGTGTCCGATGCAAGGCATCTGAATTTCCTGACCAGGCAAACAGAGCTAGGGTGAGCTTCACATCCCTGTCAGCTACAGAAACAGTAGTTGGAGACCTACTCCTCTCTGTAGCAGCTTTCCTAGCACTGGTGATTTTTTATTATACTACTTAATTCAAACCTTCAATGATGGCTTGCTCGGATTTCAATGGTCCACATGACATTGAAGCCAACCTAGGACTGTCATCAGTGCATGCATCTGATTTCAACCCTTCATTCAGAGTGAAACCCTATTGTTACAGTGGTTGCTGATAGATGAAATTTTGGTATTGGGGTATATAACATGACAACCTATGTTTACAAGTAGATCACTGATTCTCTGGCATAGTCCTCCTTCCAATGTTCAAGCCTCCTCTGGCTCCCAGTGATGACTCCATCACTTCCACTTGTGCTGGCAGTCCCAGTCACACTGTGTCTGGCTTGTATGTCCCCAATAATTTGCTTGACCTCACTGATTTGCTGTGCGATTTCCCAAAGCATGTCTATGTTGCCCTCCCCACTGTAAGGAACTGCAGATGTGGGTTTGACATGGAAGAGGCAGGATAGGTCAATGGTAAATGCATTTGGCCAGTGTGGGACAAACAGATGGTCCATCATCCATGTGCCCAGCTCAATCTGTTCCCAAGAATCAATATGTAATATCTTATGTATGGTAGTGTACTCACACTAGTACGTGCAATTGGGAGGTGTCCTCCTAGCACAATTAGGGCCAACACAATGATAATGCCGGTCAGGCCCCGTAAAATTGGTATAATTGTCCAAGGCTTGGAGATGGGAGCAAAGACATAGATGCTTCCATTCTCACCAAAGGCAATAGACTTTGGAACAGTACTATTGAGATGAACTGCAAACACTGGCTGAAGCTGTGAGCTCATACTCAGTGAAAGAACCTGAACAATATTGTCTCAGGTTCCAATGGCAACACAGCAGGTTGAATCAGTGGTTGACATATCCCATGCAACACAGGTAATTTCAAATCCTGAGCCTAACTGCCTGGCACAAATCTCCTGAAACTGCTTCTACATATCTCAGATTAGATGACTTTTCGCATTGAGAGAAGTGTCTTACATCAAGAGTGTTGGATCTCATGAATACAAGGTATCCCATACCAGTGCCATAGCACAGAGTTTTGGCAGGTGCATGCTTTGCTTTCATCCAAATAGCACAACTTACAATGCCATGGGACTCCAAGTGTGTCACCAAAGTCCACTCCTTCCAAGTTTCAAGGTTCCAGAGCTTAACTCCCTCAGTACCTAGACATCATTAGTATGAGTCTCAGTCCATGGTACAAACCTACTGCCAGCAGCAAGAACTTGCCCATCAATGGATATGGCAAGCACATGCACAGATCCTGTGCTCTTGAAAGAAGCAACTTGTTGGTAACACTGCTTTAAGGAAGGTGAAGGGGGAGAATAGCGATTGCAATGCATACATGGTTTGAAATTCTGGTGATTTCTTCACCCACTTGCATTGCACATATATAGCAGATAAACAAATGTGCTAGGGACCCGAAAAAGGGCCACCCTGGTCCTTCACAACCCTGTTGGACAATACCACTATTTTGGTGTGATACCATGGTGTCGAGCCCAGCTCAATAATTGATGCTATTGTATAATTGCATAATTGTGTACTGCTGTTGTACTGCTGTCATAGTTGCCAATCGCCATGTGCCATGTTATCGCAGCTCTTGTTTTGTTTTGCACTTCGCAATGCCTCTCTGCATTCCAGGATCATAAATCTCCATTGAGTGTCTTGTTTCTCAAGCTAAGCAGAAATGCCTACCACAGCCAAGCCAGTATCACCTTTCTTCAGTGATGATTCCACTGTTCCTCCACCTTTACCCTCCATGCTAACAGATCAAATCAAGTTATTTGGCAGTCCATGCCACCCTATGACACTGCTTGCTGACAAAGTTCTTGCTCCAGCTGGTTTGGACACAAGGCAGGTCATCAAATCTGAAGAATTGCCCAACTCCTGTAGATCTACACCTGCCCCAGAGTTCTGTCTTGCACAAAAGCCCAAGTCAACTAAACACAGAACTTCCCCATATTCAAAGAGACCCATCATCCAATGAGCATCATCTACTATGCCATCCTTGGAAGAGGACTCAGCTGCTGAGTCTGTTGAGTCCTCTGACAGTGATTGTGCATCAAGCATGCTCTTGGATGACTCAAAGATCCCCAAGCCTACTGGGGAGCCTGGATGTCCTGGACATGGATGGTACACACTTGAAATTGCTCTTGATTGGAACTGTAAGATGTATGTGAAGTTCAAGGTATGTTGAACTTATACTTCTGAGTGTCCAACCTGAAATGCATGAGAGTAGAAACTTATTTTCCACCTCATTGATGGACACTTGGATGTCACAAAGTGTGCATCTGCACAAAATCCAACACTTCTCAGACTTGTATGCAACAAGGTAAGTCTTGATTGAAGCTGGGAGATAGAATCACTAATGTATCCTTAGGCTGTGGCTGCATTCCCAGATCTTGATAACTACACCAATGCCTGGCCTGTCAGTGACACAATAATGATGTGCCTGAAATATACATCTGGTTGTGCAAGGCGCCAAGAGGTAGAGATGGCAGCAGGGAAGACTAAGTGGGAGACCAGGTCTGCAATGGAATTGGTAAGCTAATCTCAATTGCATCCCCTCTGGCAGTACTCTCAGCATATGAACAGAAGTGAGGAGGCTATTAGTGCATTATCATGGTTACCATACCCATTCACTGTTGTAGTGTGTCACTCAACAGTTGAGACTGCCCTTTTTTTTCCTATCTTTTTTTTTCCTGTCCATTCTATGACATCAAGGTAAGGGGAACAGCAGACATTCTGTGCTCATGCATTGTGTAGATCATAACATGGTATCTACATTGCACAGGAATGAGATGACCACAAGTTACAAAGCAAAGCTTCACAAGGCTAACAAGATGACTGCAAGTTATAATGGGTATAGCTATGCAAAGACTTCACAAGGCTAATGAAGTGTGGAGGCTTGGATCTGTGGCAGTTTATGCATTCAGCAACCCTGTGTAAGTTTCAGTAACTGATAAAATATCAAGCTGTTTCACTGACCATGATATGATGTAGTCAGCAATTGCAGCATCCCTTGCATGCATGTTTACAATGGAATGAGTATGAGTCCCCAGCCTCATCGCAACAACATCACCACAAAATTGATCATCAACCTTACTCAGGATGGCATTTTCCTGGAGACAGCAGTGTCATTTGAAGAACACACAGTAATGGTAAGTACTTCTCCCTTTGTGCACAGTCACTTGACAGTTATGAACATAGGGTTGGAGCACTGCCTCTTGAAGCAAGGTCTCCACAAATGGGAAGCAAAGCAAAGCCTGAGATGTGCCAGTGCAGCATGTCAGCATCATGACCTGCTGGGGCCTGTCACAGGAGGTTGAGTATAGTCTGCACCACAGATGAAATTCAGGAGCCTGAGGATATTTAGACATGGAGCTGGGCAGATGACAGGTGGGTGCCTACAGAGGATGATGGAAAAACATAAACACGTGTGTTTACCATTGCAGGAGGAAGATATGAAAATGGAATGCTAATGAGGGGGAGGAGTAGAGTGGTGACCTGCACCTTGATGTGAATAAGAGAAAGTGGCGATCCTGCCAGGTGACTGGGGGATGAGTGGAGTGGAGACCTGCACCACTTGACCAGAAAACAAGAGAGAGTGGTGATCCTACTGGGCAACTACATTGTGCAAGGGTTTAAAGCATACTCCCTCATGCACTGCTAGATTTGTCCAGGATGACTGATACAATAACGATACAATAACAAGTGCAGTTAGGAGGGCTGGAGCTGATCACAAGTAGGCTGTCAACAAAAAGAAAGGTAATTTCGCAAAAAGACATGAAAAATTTCCTTGACAACACTATGCATTTGGTACACATTAATTAACAACCAGCCTCCACATATAAAATGTTTTCCTTGTGGGAGCCTTTCTTGCCAAATAAGCAAGGTTGATGACTGACAACACAGACATAATATTCCCTGGGAGCCTTCCTTATGAGATGCAGCAGGTCACACCAGCATCCCATTCTACATGGCCTCCTTCATACCAGAAGATACACAGACCATCCAGCAAGACAACAGTCTCTTTGACAAAGGTAGGTAGGTTCAGTGCACTCATAGCAGCAAGGTACACTATTGAAGACACCATTCTTTAGATACCCAGTATGAGTCCATTGTGTCAAGTCAGTGGTGGTTGGAACCACCTGAAACTGCACCTGAGACTTGTGCAATTATGCCCCACCTGAAATCACTAGAACTCATGTCTGTTCCTGGTACACAGTACTCCCAAGAACCTGAGGTTGCACTCTTCTATTTTCTGCACATTGTAGGAATTCACTTGAAGGTATACCCCAGGGCTCTAACACCCAAGATAAATGTTGCCATGAAGAGGTCAACTACTCACACAAATTGTGCTGGGATCTATATGAAAAGCACAGAGTCATTAACCAACTGAGAGGACATGTCCATCAGCTGAAAGAGGTGCATAATGTGCAGTATGTACATGAATGGATCCACTGCTGACAATTGGCCTCTGACAACCTGCCTCCAACAACTTGCCTCTGGCGATGTGAGTCAAAGTGTGGTTCAGTGGTGAAAACCAACCAAAACCAACACAAAAGACAATGAAAGCGAGTGGTGGTGTGCCTATGCAGTACCTAGATGGTAGAACTTGTTCTTTGGGAGGGTTTTTGCGAGCTACAACACTCAAAGATGAGTGCTGAGGGTTGGGGGTGCTCCTGATGAAGAGGGAGCAAGAATGTGATAGAAAGCAATAGGGTAGACTGCTATCAGCCTACAGAAGGATGGATGGTGACTTAATTCAATGTCCTAAGCTGTACTGAGCTCAGGGAGGGCTTGGAGCGAAGTATATGGATGATAGATGATAATAAGCAAAGTAGATGATAGCTAGACCCTTAATAAAGTCTCAACTATCGAAGCTGATGAATGATTTGCTGAGAGATGATAAATTGCGAGCAAGAGGGGCTCTCTGATGTCTTCTTTTTTTTGCTACCTAAGCACAGTGACTTATATGCAGTACAGGGGCATTGCCTATGGAAAACAAGGTGTAAACACTTGGTAAGCAATTGGTAACTGATGAGTAAGGAATGTAAGCGATGGGTAATCATCTTGGAAAGCATTGGTAAGCATTGGTAAGGATAAGTAAGCCAAAAAGCAAAGAATCAGTAAGCAAAGTCAAAAGATTGGTAAGTATTGGCAATAGGTGAGTCAAAGACAGTCAGAATGTCAAAGTATGAGTCAAGCAATGTCAGGAACTGGGAAAGTGCACTGGAATCGCATTAGGGGGAGGCTGTGCATGTCACATCTTGAAGAGATCGCTTCTAGGCCAAGGTGGGATGACAGAGAGGCAGCACTGATCTGATGCTGATATAGTACATCCAAAAGTGGACAGGGTGAGTCAGATGTCAACAGGGGTCAAGCTTTGGGGGTCTGTGGGGTGACAGGAGCATAGGGGATTGCAACTTTCCCCCCCAAACCATCCTCTCAGTGAAGCAAACAAAAACTTCATGAATGAGGCTCTGTTGGAAGAGAGGATGAAGGGGGAGCATCTTCTGTTGTATCTTGCAACAAGGAGGAAAGATGTGCATCATACTCGTCATGGATGCGATCAGGGAGAGTGGAGAACAGTAGATTATACTGTAGCTGTCGCAATTTTGGAAGAATGATGGACGAGACTGGTATGAAGACATTGCAGGGGGCAGGGAGGAAGGACCCATATGCTTCTTGGACTGGAGAGACTGAAATGACCACATAAGACCTTTCCAAGCGAATGACAGACCTGAGGCGACCAAAGAACATCCTCCTGGAGGTCATACTGACAAAAAGAACACGCTGTCCAAGCTGGATGGGCTGAGAGGGGGCAGACGAGGGTGGGATGTACCAGGACGCTTCAGGACAGAAGCTGGTAGGAACTCCTGGTAGATATATGTAGCCATGGTCCCTAGCAAAGGGGACAAGCGAAATGACTGATGTGGAGGCAGCCATATCAGAAGAATTAGTGAAATGAGCATCTTTTGGAGGGAGTGCTGTAGAAATGTGTGGAGTGTGCAAATCCTTTCCAATCTTGGAAGGTAGGATCACGTGGCTGAGCACTACAAGCAAGTGTGGGAATGGTTTTGGTGTCTGCAGAATTGGTGGAGATACGTCGAAAACCGGAATGCTGTACACAGGCGCTTAAGAATTTTACTGGCACTTAACCTGCCTCCTCCTTTTTCTTTGGCATTGACAACCTGTTCTTGTGCGAGGGATGACTGCCGACATTGCTGGCTGTCCTTCTTTGCATGAGGGCTATGGTCTTCACCTCCATTCATCAGCTACATCCATGTCCACCTCACCAAACACCTTTGGTGTGTGACAGTGATCCACCAATGCCTGTCCCAATCCACCTAGCAAGAGGCAGTGCTCCACAACATTGATGACCACTATCAGATGGCATGTGTGGAGATCAAGAATCAGAAAAGGAAAGTGATGGAATTGCAAGGAATTATGGAATGCCATGAAGAAGTGAGTAAATCTTATGTTCTCATGTTCTCATGTAGGTCGCTCTCTTTGCTAGGGATATATACAGGATCATAGCAACACTCAGGTGCACATTCAGAGTCAGCATGAAGCAACCATCAATCAGTGTAGAACCAATATCAAAAGTATCTGCAATGAGATGAAGGTAAAAATTTATTCTGGTAATTTGAGCAGAGAGCACTTAGCAGAACCCAGGTCCATATGGAGGCACAACTCACAAAGTTGTCAGCATTATCTCAAATGAAGCTTGCTGAAGCTTTGAAGGAATGTGACCTTGAGTTTGCTGAGAAGCTGAAGGAACATGACAAGGCATTTTCTGAGAAAATGAACAAGGCCGAGGCAAGTCTTAGGGTAAGTCAACATCGAGATTTGTTTCCCTTCCACATATTTAGATACACTCAGGCAGAGAAGGAAACTGAGATTGCCAACTTAGAGCAGCACTGCTACACTTGACCATAATCAAGACATAGGGAGAGCTCAAACACAGACTATGGTTTCTACTCAGCAAATGGCTGCAGTAACCTCTGTAAATGACAGAGGATTTGGGGCAACACCAGTAAGAGTGGTCCTGTTTAGGGACACTAAGGGTGAAGTTCTGAGAATGCTGTGTATGATTGAGCAGCTCAAGTCTGGGTCTTCCAGGACTTGAACTGACAGACTAAATACTGTACAAGAAGTGGACCATAAGGCATCTGCATGTAACAAGGTAGCTATGCCATTGGTTGAGCAATGGTGACACATGTTCTATGCATGTAATGAGAGGATAATGCTAGTGGTGGAAACAAGGAGCCATCAGATCAACAAGAAGATGGATTGAAAAGGAAAGGTAGTCTGATGGATCGAATCACAAGGTAAACATAAGGAGGAAAAGAGTAAACAAGGGTGAAACATAACATTACCCCCCTGTTAAGCCTTGAAGTCTCCAACTTCAATCTACTCTCCATAAGGTTCTCCAGTCATATTACTGATGGCAGAGTCATCAAAGTTGAAGTTGTCATCATATAAATCGTCATCCTTGCTCCTGATGAGGGTATGATCATCTACCACTCCAGGAGTGGAGAGTCT